AATGCTAGTTGCACTACCAATTGTCTTGCTCCATTGGCAAAGGTTTGTTCTCTAATTAGTTGTTTGGCGCACCATGAATGATATTATTTTTTACTGTGCGGAACAGACTCAACATAGATCTAATGCTCGTATGTGACAGGTTCTTAATGACAAGTTTGGTATTGTTGAGGGACTTATGACAACTGTCCACTCTATTACTGGTAAGTGAATCTTTTCCTCGATCGTCGTTTTTTTTGCTTTACATGGGTGTAAACAGAGGTTGATTTTAGTTGATGTCATTCAGCAACTCAGAAGACTGTCGATGGTCCATCAATGAAGGACTGGAGAGGAGGTAGAGCTGCTTCATTCAACATCATTCCTAGTAGCACCGGAGCTGCTAAGGTATGTATTTTATACTATATTTTTTGATATAAACAAAGTTATACTACTAGTAAAGGTATACCTGTCACTTGTGCAAGCGAGTGTAAATGTATACAATATGTGTGGGAGTGTAAATGTATTTTTATAAAAATGTATATGTTCATTATAGAGTCGAATGTCAAACTATGTATATGTCATATGTGCATTGACTTAGTAGAATGGAACAGATATCTCAATATAAGTTGATACATACCATACGTGATTTTATAGGCTGTTGGGAAAGTACTTCCTTCTCTAAATGGAAAGCTTACCGGAATGGCTTTCCGTGTTCCAACTGTTGACGTCTCGGTTGTTGACCTCACTGCAAGGCTTGAAAAGGCAGCATCGTATGATGAAATTAAAGCTGCTATTAAGTAAGGATAAACAAGTTTCTCATAACTCAACCTTATTGTTTGTTTGCTGTACAGCACAAAAATAAAACTGCCTTGTTCCAATCGTTGCTGTCTTAAATCTTCATTTCTCATCTCTTGTTTATGGTTCTGCAGAGCCGAGTCCGAGGGTAAACTAAAAGGGATCCTTGGTTACACTGAAGATGATGTTGTATCAACTGATTTTGTAGGCGATAGCAGGTGAGGAAAATCTATGAACTGTGCCAATCCATTTTTGTGGACAAGTTTTAAATGGTTGTCTATGCTTTTTTCCATTCTAGTTGGCTTCAAACATGTTTTGCTTAAAAGGTTCACTTATAAGTAAGTCTATTTACATGTTAATAAGTTTGAACTAATTAACTTTTTTATTCGTCAAAATTAAAAATAAATAAGTTACATATTTGCCTCTAACGTAAGAGTTACTCTAAAAGTTGACCTTATTCGTGCATTTTTCCAGGTCAAGCATTTTCGATGCCAAGGCAGGAATTGCTCTGAATGGCAACTTTGTGAAGGTTGTATCTTGGTACGACAACGAATGGGGTTACAGGTAAGCATTTTTATAGTTCATGTAAGATAAGTTTTCTAGCTCTATTTATTTTCATATCAACTGCTATAATTATATAATTCTCCATTTGCAGTAACCGTGTTATCGACTTGGTTCGTCACATGGCATCTGTTGCTTGAGATGTTTTCCCATGGATTACACATTGAAGGGAGAATAATTTTTTTACTTAGTAATCAATCTAGTTTGTGCCTTGGTTAGGTGGTTATGGAATAACTGAGATGTTAAATCTCCAAAAACCTTTTCTTTTTCTTTCCTTTTGAAGAGTTTGTAGCAGTGGATTATCTTGGAGTCTAGATCTGTTTGTATTTTACGGATTAGAATTGCAATTGTACCATTAAATCTTTCTGCATTAGTTATATTTTCGAGGACAATAAATCCAACTTCATTCATGAGGCTCACCCCGAACAACGGGGGGGATATGAAAATGGGAGTACGACATTTCCAAGAGGCAATAACATGGCTGCTTTGTTCCCATTTGTACCACTACTCGTTACCTATCTATTGTAACAAATCAATAATGTCAATTAAGGGACAAAATAAAATCAGGCTCAAGATTATGAGCTAATAGAAGCAAGAGTCTCAGAATATTCCAAATGTACACCAGTGGATTGAGCTACCAAACCTTGTTTCCCGGCCACAACTTCAGCATCCTCAGGGGAAAGAAGCTTCACTGTCTTATACATCCATGCGGCATTTGCTCCAAATTAATCTCTAATTATTGACCCAACAAGTCCTCTCTAATATGCACCAGTATTCAATATCAGCTGTCTATCCCCTGGGAGCTCGGTATTAAGAAGAACTTTTCCACTCCACACCACCTCAAGCCAATGGTCATGTCAGGTTGAGGTCATCAACAAAACCATCAGATAAAAACTTAAACACTAGTTCAATGCCTCGTGCTTATGTTGATGAGTTTCCCCTTGTGGTGTTGGGAATCTACTGAAAACGCGCAGCAAAAATTAAACAAAATTTTCAATTCCCACCAAGGATCTGCTTTGTGTTTAGATAGAAATCGTGACATAGGTTGTATCTTTTCTAGATCTGCAAACTCTTTTGTCTTATCTTTGTTCTAGCAATTTGGATCTGTCTCTCATAGCTGTCCAATTGTCCAGCCTCTAACTTGAAGTTGTCGAATGTTTTAAGGACAATAAAATCCTCCCTGAAAGATAATCTTTTTTGCTATAACCACCAAAAGGTCAACTAGAAGTTTAATACAATTGCCATGTAAACCGATAAAAACGATGAAATAAGCAAATAAGGGGGAAAATATATTTTCAATCTGTCCCACAATTAGAATTTTATTTATGCTTCCATTGCATAACAAAAAGGCACCCGAATTGTGCTTCTTCGCTAAAGTTTGGCTTCCAAGCTGAAAGTTATCCGCATTTTTGTAAATCCTTCTTATTTCTCACCTTTTCTAGTTGATTAATGATTTTCTCTTCTGATTGTTCCGCATCAAATTTGTACAATGACTAACATGTGAAATACTTCTTCATATGCAGATAATTTCATTTGATCAAATTGCGGTATAGGCGATCAAATTGCACTACTTACAATGGGACAAATGGACACTCTAAAAATCATCCACAAAGATTGATAAGGTCCGTCTACGATCAAAGTCTCGTTTACCAACAACCGTCAATCTATTAAATCACTATTAATCATAAGTTCAACTCAAAACACATAATTAAGTTGAAGAACGAATGGGTAGGACGTCATATCCTAATCACATACAATAACAAGAGAGCATTAAGCCTCGAAGTTATAAGCAACTTCTTAGAATTTTAGAATTATTAATGAGATGGTATTTCTGTTATTTTAAACAGTGTCCAAAAAATTATTGGGTGTTATTTTTAACATTAAAAATCTACCATCCAAAAGGCTCAATAATTTTGAACCTAAAATTCTAAAAATTGAAAGCAAAATAATTTTCCGCTGCCGGGATTCGAACCCGGATACTGATAAACAATATTATCTGGGATTACCTAGTGCTACAACGGAGCTGTTGATAGTCATCCTGGAAAAGATTTTAAATAGAAATGTGTAATGGAATGGCCGAGTACTGACTTTGGTTTGTTGAGACCTTAATTATGGGTATAAATTGAATAACTATATAATAAAATGGGAACTAAATGAAACTATTCCAATAACATTAAATGGATAAAAATATATTAGGAAAATAGTAAAAGTTTTAACTTTATAGATGCTAAATTTGTCTCACATGAGGAAGTCTTAGGCCCCGTTTGATTGCACGAAAATTTTCATGAAATTTGGAATTCGAATCCCAACTTCCATTTTTAGCCTGTTTGATTGACAAAATTTTCCAAGGAATTGATTTTCATGAATTTCTAGGTACAATACCTTAAAGCGTGATTTTCCACCTTTTATTTTCCTAGGTGTAGGTGGTTTTTGGTTTTCCATATTTTTTTTTTTGCTTTTTTTTAATTGTTGGCAATGGGAACAAATTCTAGGAACAATTTTAAAAGATGATATCCCTGAAATTGATAATTTTCATGTAAAACAAAACCAAACGAACACCAAAAAATACTTTTACTTCAACATTTTTCACGTGAAAAATTATACCAATCAAATACAGTTAATTTACAATTTCCAAGAAAACAATTTCTAGGTAATTCAATTCCTTGAAATTCATTTTCTTTCCACTCAAATTCCATCATCGCAATCAAACAGACCCTTAGTTTATTTAACAATGGTAATATGAAAATTGACAGAAGTGTAGAAAGATAATACCCAATAAGCATAACTCAAGAAAGTGATGCATATAGGAGTTTTCTTTTCCATTTTTCCCCCCCTTTCGTTTTTCTCATTAACAAATGAGAATAAACTTCAATATTTTCCATAGGAAAGATATCTATGTAGATAAGAGTTGGGATAAAAGTTTTTACAATATCCCTATCCAACTAAATTTTTACTTTTGGTTTCGACAAACAAATAATAATAATTGAATAATCTTTTCAGAAAAACATACGAAGAAATATTTCTTTAATTAGTTTATTTCTCTTGACCATTTATCGTTTTTCTTTAGCTAGTCACTAAAACCTCATTTCTTGGTGTCAAAATATAATATGTGGTAGAAAAATGGAAGATCTATTTTCTTGATTTTCCCCTCCCCCACCCCTAAATAATAATAATAATAATAATAATAATAATAATAATAATAATAATCTTGGATATTACCTAATCCTTACTCTGAAACTTTTCGTTTATACCCTGGTGATCTTTTTGTGTGTGATAAATAAAATTTAACCTTCTTAACTAAAATTATTTACATTCATTCTATCATCTTTCAGCCAAAAATAAAAAGAAACAATATGTGAGATTTAGCACAACTGCACAAGTCTCCATAAAGCCTTGTTTCTATGGAACAATATCCAAAGACGACTTCGTTCATATTTTTTTATGTATTGACACACGTCTCTCATTGACTTCTACCCTTAATTGAACAATACTTCCATCCTCCTAGAAATAAACAGAAAAATTGTTGGTTCATGGTAAAATCGCAAATAAGTTTACACGGACAAAAAAGAACAGGTTAAATACATATTGGGTTCCTAAAGTTGCAACAAAATTTCAAGATGGTCCTTGAAGTTTATTTGTTTCTAAACCGGATCACTGAAGTTTCCTAAGTGTTCCAATCTTGTCACCTGTGAGTGATATTAACATCAAATCTCATATGTAGTTGTTAAAACAATCGTGTACTACTTGAGCATTTAGCTTTACTTGGCCCTCGTTAAAATTATAATTTATTTTTCTCTCTTCTGATTTATTATACTTTCTCCAATAAAATAATATACACATAAAAAAAAAAATTCTATTTTAACCACACATTCATTAAAAAATTATTATTCTAAAATATTATTTTCCCAAATTCTCATTATAATTAGGCCAAACAAGAGCTTAATTTTGTCACCATGTAAACTTGAATCTTGCTAATAATGATTTGCGAAGTTAACTCATGCCTGGTTCATATCTAATTCAACATTCGAATTAGAACGGGTTTCAGGGTATCGTCATCCAATTTATAACACATTCAGGCTTGCATGGCAATGAGATTAGTACGTTGTTTCGTTTAAAAAATGTAAACACGGTTTAGTGTTAAGGACTAAGTTGGAAGTGTTCGAAAAATTTATTGACTAATTGGAAGTAAAGAGGAAAAAAAAAAAATACTCTTTAATGGCCACCTTGATATTGCTCTACCACTTTGAGGCAAAATGCATATTTAACCCAAAAATAAACATCTGAAACGAATTTGTTTTTGCATTTATATAAACAATTTTCCCGCAAATTCACTTTCAATAATTCCTTTTAAATTTTTTTTATCTCGCATTTCATTTTGTCATTTGAACTTGTAAGTTCTCCACACCTCTGTTGAAATAAATGATTTAGAAATTTTTTAACCTAAATTTCTACGTTTTGTCCTGCGTTGCAATCTAATTTACGAGGTTCATATTTTACTTTCATCTTTTATTTTTTATGTGATTTCCACTTACGCTGGAAAGTTCTCCTTTATCATTGTAGAATTGGACTTGTCAATGAAAATTTAGCTCAGTTTTTCTTGTCAAATACCATTGAGCATCGTACTATAATTGACAATCTTCATTATCTTTTAATCACATGATCCAAAAATGCCTTTGTTGTTAATAAACTTTCACAAAATATGCATCAGCCAATTACTGACCATTTAACATGTGTTAGCGGCTCTTACAATACTTGTCGATTCTTCTCAGATGTGTCATAAGTGTACCATGATTCCTCTCTTAGTTTACATGCCTTTTCTGATGTTGACTAAGACTAGAGATAAAGAGGAAATTTTCCCAATAGGTAGTTATGATGTTTATATTGGTCGAAATCCAGTATCATGGAGTTCTAAAAAGAAAACTCTTGCCCGATCATCAACTGAGGATGAATATCATTTTGTTGCCAATGCCACTGTCGAGCTCCATTAGATTCTCTATGTAAATTAATTTATTTGAAATATTATGAATGTTGTATGTATATAATTCATGTGGATATTCACCAGATCAAAAGAACGTAAATATTTGACCGAATTACATGTATATCCATGGTAATAAATATGTGATAATTACATAATTTTCAATTATGTGAACATTACGTCCGTCCAAACTACATGAATCTTATAATCATGGAGTGTGGAATTCCAGTAACATTCAGGGAGTACATCATAGAGATATCTCATCTTGGTTTAAAACCAAAGCATTAAAGTTTGAGTTGTCTGATTATTTGCTCATGAATTTGATTTTGATTTCTATTCTTACACAATTCAGTCAATTTAAGGTTAGTCACAACTGTCAAAAAGAGTAGTGGACTCTTGATGAGCTCATTTCTTATTGTGTGCAAGAAAAAGAAA